GGCCTCCCAGGTTGCCCCGTCCCTTCCAGCAGCTGGTCCAGGTTTTGCTGATCAGATATAACCCAGGGACTGGCTGTATGATTTCATCAGAAAAACAGCAAGGTTGCATTCCTTCCCATAAGGGTCTAGGGTGTCAGGGACTCCCCCTCCCCACCAATTTTGTATCCATTAGCTAAGTCTCTTTATGTCTGTCCTATCACTTATTCATGATCATCTAGATCAATCTGTTGAAAAGTGCATTTATTGAAACCTGATCCTGGCTTTGTCTGGATTGCAAGGGCCTTTCTAGCCCAGTCTCTGCTGCGTGGTTTACAACCACAAAGCCTGTTGAGGCTGGGAAGAGAGCTGGCTTAGTGCAATGCTGCTTCCAAGCCTAGGAGCATACGGATCCATCGCCAGGAAAAACACAAGGCTTAGATGCCTAATACCCATTGAACAGCCTCAGTGTGCCAGGAGGACAACGGTATGTGTATATGCAGTACTTGTAGCTGAAAAACTTATAGCACCCACAGAGTTTTTTGATTTGGACTTACGGTGCAGAGGGGTCCATTTTTGAGACATCCCTGTCCCTTGCAGACTGGCTGCAGCAGTGATCGGGGAGTTACCCAAACCAAGGCACTGCAAGAGCCTCTTGTAGTGTTGTGTTTGCAGGTTGATCGGGAGCCTGAGAATTATGTTCACTCACAAAGAAAACATCACAAAAACCTCCCATAATGGGAACAGAGTGGACAACTGTGTGCACGTTTCACACAATGGAAGATGTCTTCCAACCAAAAGCACTTTTCCTCTCTGAATAACTCCTGGAAAATCGATGCACCCATCATGGTTGTAGCCCCTGCCAAGCATGTTACTCTTAGGAGTTGTGCAGGTTTGTGCACAAGGAAGAATAGGGCATGTGAGTGCTGTCAGAGAGAGGCAGCACTGCTAACTGTCTCAAATCCCACACAGCTGGGGCAGCTCATTCTCACTTGCACCTGGGAAGAAGCCATTTCCCGAAAGCCATTTCCCAGCCTGGGGAAACATGAAGATTCAAGGGTAGTCCAGACTACACAAATAAGAGGAGAGCAGGATGTGATGACTTGTTTCTGAAGTGTGGTACAGTTGCAGAGCTTGCTCATGTCAATCCCTGAATGTGTCTCCTGCTGGGCTGGGAGGCTGTGGAGAGGCAAAGGCACTTGCAAGTACAGAGCTCTGTGATTTGTCCTCTGGAGCTTACTTTGCCTTCAGTAGCTGGATAGCTGATGAGGATGGTGCACCTGCTGATAGCTACACACTCTGCTTTAATGCATGGGTGCTTTGCTTCTGCAGTCAGGGTTGTGCCCTGCTTGACTGCCTCTACGCCCTCTCCCTGGGCTATGGTGTACAAATCTCCCTTACCCTTTCCCTCCTGGCACAGTATGCTGCATCTGCTGAGATGCAGATACAGGCGTGTGAAGGCAAGAGAACTCCTGGTATCAGTCACTCTAAAAAAGGCACAGAAGGCCAAAGAAATCTGTGGCTTCAGTTGATTTCTTGATATCATGGATACCAGGAAATGTTATTTATTTCCAAGTCTACGATCCCAAAGTGCCAGGTATTACGTGAACAGAGAAAAACGACATCTTAGAGTTTACTGTCCACAGTGGAAGACAGCATGGTGTGAGAGTGAGGCAGTACTGATGAAACAGTACTCTCGGTATGCAAGCAACTTTATTTTCTAAATTATAACCCCATGTTATGGGATCAGTTTTCAGGATTGTGCTTTGCTACGCACTTTGTGGCAAGGCCAGTTCATGGACAGATTGTCACTGAGGCCATAGGAATGAGGATGCTGGTCTCTGAGAGTTCGTTTAACATCTGAGTGATCTACCCTTGGTACAGGAACTCTGGTACACTACTACTTTATTCTTTCTTTCAGTACCTGCTGAAAGAGGTAACACTTAAAAACAAAATAACCCCCCTAATAGACTCCCATTGTCTGTGGTGCCTGTAGGAGCTGGGACCCAGCAGAGCCGGCAGGTCGCTGCTCTGCAGTGCTGGGCCATGCTCTGCTTTGCTGCCCTTGCTTCTCCCATGGAAGTTCAGCCTTGCTGCCCTTGCTTCTCTGATGGAAGTTCAGCCTTGCTGCCTGGCAGTTCTTGGAAGTTTTCTGCTCAATTTAATCCTTTCAGCTGATCAATGAAATGTGTGGTATTGGGGGAGAGGGGGGTGATGTGAGGGCAGTCTCTTTGGTGTCACCATCTGTTTCTGTATTTAGTCAAGGCTCCTTGGGGAATTTCATGTTTAGAAAAAAGGGCTGATGGAGGGAGACGCACTAAAACAAACTCGGCCTTTCAGGAAATGGGGGCTATGCTGGGCAGAAGTTGCAATAATTATTTGCTCTGTGGTTCCTATTCTGGCTGTCTTAGCATGATGTTCCTTTTGGAAACAACATAAATGGGTGCAGTTACTCTACTGGGCGGAGGCAATTGGTGTTGTAAAAACAGCTACAACATCAAAGTAAACTGAAGTAAGTAGCTCTGGGCAGCTGAAATGCCACAGTGCCTGGGAGTTTCATCGTGTTGCCTTCTACTCCTTAGCAGCACACAGAAGGATCTGCTGTAAGTCTGTAGGAAATGGTGCAATATTGTACAAAAGAACTAGGTCTCCTTTTGGGAGTATTTGTTACTACTTTTGCACATGGACTTCTGCTGGGAAAGGGGTCTGGGTCAGTCTGGACTTTCTGATAATTTCTAGGTGTTGAAGATACCAGAGGGATCTCATTGTTCATCTCTCCTCTTTTTCCCTCTAAATGGTACCTAATAAATAACAGTGTTCATGCCCGTGGAGTGTCTCTTGTGTGTCATATTATCAACTCCTTCTATCTCCAAACTAATTTCTGAGCTGAGGGAGTGGAAAGTGTGTGTAACCCGGATGCCCCAGTCTACAGGGATAGACCATGTAGGGTTCTGTGAGCATGGCACGCTCCTATGCTGGTGTGTGTGTGTACTTGTGTACATGCCATGGCATCGGGGTGCAGTGTGTGTGGGAGGGTGCAGGCCTGGCTCCTGATTAAACTGCACTTGCCTGCAGGCTCTCATCTATGTGCTCCTGGGTTACTGGTGTCTGAAGGCATTGAAATGCACTATTGGGAATGAGAGTTAACAATAAGTGTATTGAAAGTGTAAGAAAAGGTTTTCTTTCATCCCACTGTTGGGAACTCCAGACACAACTTTGCTGTTTTGTGACTTTGCTCTTGATACCATGATGGTAGTAGGAGCCTTTGGTGAAAATAGCACAAAGATCTTTTGCTAACACATGTTGCTCTTCATATGTTCGTGCAGAATTGTCAGAATGTGATTTGGGAAATGGATGATTTCTCAACAGCAATGTCTTGCCCGAATGTCTCAGGACACTTTGTCTTGAGCATCAACAGTTTCAGAAAATGTAAGAGGATGTAATGAAGAGCTCTAATATAGTTCCTCAAAATCTGTATTCAATGCATTGCTTACCAGCTCTCTGGGATCTTCAAACTTGAATCTGCAACATAAGAAAACATTTCTTCCTATCGCTATGGCTCACTGGCCATAAGGGTGATCTTCGCACACCATCCTTGGGTTTAGGTACTGACCAGATGCACTGGTGCTTTTCATTCACTTGGTGAGGGGAAATTAATCTGCTTGCTGTGGAAACTCTAGAGCAGAACACAGCAGCAAAAGTAGAATTATGTAGGCTTTTTTAAATGTCAATAAAACCGGTTCCTTTATTGGGAGGACTGGAGGTCGGCCAATAGACATATCTTCTACAGTAAGGAAAATCCAGGGTACTAAAGTGTTTAAAGTGACTAAAGTAGTTTAAAAAAACCCAAACACCTAAACTAAAAAAAATCATTAAAAATAGAATTAGTGTTCCACATTCTGGATAATGTAATACAGAAATACTATTGCATCTCTTCAAACATAATAAGCCTATAAGCAAAGAGCTAATGGTGCTGACGGGTTTAAGAGGATAGGAAGGGCTTTTATAATCAATAACTTAGGGGCAGAAAACAAATTAGGAAGAAAGTAGGTCTATGAATCAATGAAAAGCAGGATGGCTTTAACGTTACTCAACAGTTCAGCACTTTGGCTTTTTCTCAATACTTATCTAAGCAGAGTTTGTGATTTCTATGGAAAGACATAGAACAGATAAGTTTGCAGTAACTGAAATGCAGTGTGACGGTATGCCTAATTCTGCCTAATTGCAGGTCATGCTCTCCCTGATTTGCCTTCC